AGTGAATTCCATGCCACTAATTCCTTCTTCAATTTCATCTCAAATTATATTATTCCTTTTTTGGCTTGTCCCATTCTTTTATGGCTTTATTTTGCAAAAGATATATTCCCTCGTCTCAAAAAAATATTTTTTTGTTACTGTATTAAATTTACAAAGGCTTTCTTTGGCATCATCGATAGTGATCAACGTTAGCATTTTGAAAAGGCTATCCGACGATAGCCTTTAACGTCAGCGTTTTAAAAATTAATCTACGTCATTAAAATTTTATCTAAAACGCTAACGCTAATCGAAAACGTTGTTCTCAAACTAGGCCAAAATAAGAAGTGATGCACATTTTATTTTATATTAAAGTCTATCCCACATCAGAAGTCTTTTAAGTTCTTGAGTTGAACTAAGTAATTAACAGAGTTTAATCTTTTAATATGATTTAACCTAAGTATTTTATGACCTAGTCCATTGATCCCCATCTCATTCTGAATTCTATCGTTTTATCATATGAATAATTAATGAAAATACGTAAAGAAAGTAAGTAAATATTGAACTAGTTAATCGATTGAATTCAATCTTTTAATGTATACCGTTCTTTTCAAATACTCCCTCCGTCCATAATTAATCTTCCCGCTTTGACTTGGTGCGCAAATTTAGGTGGAATGAAAATAACCTTGACTTTCCAAAATTACCCTCTAGCTAATCCTCCTGTCACCACACAGCCTGTCTAGTCCTTTAAAAAAAACACAGCCTTCTCCTCTCTCCAGCTTCTCCATCCAAGTTTCCTACCTTCCGATTCAACTCACCACCATCAATTGTTGCTCCTCCGCGGCTCCGCCACCACAGCAAGTGGTCGCCATCTCGATCTTCGTCTTAATTAGATCTAGATTGGAGTCCTCAAATCTGCAGAGATAGAATACAACCTTATGAGATCCGTCCAAATCGAGCAAGGTTACAAATCAATCATCAGATCTATCCCTATTGATGATGCTGCAGGGGAGGAAGAAGAAGAAGAAGAAGAAGAAGATGGAGAGAAGAAGGGGTATGAGGAAGAAAAAGATCCTGCAGAGAAGAAGAAGAAGGTGGCTGGACAAAAACAGAAGGGGTAGGAAGAAGAAAAGAGTGAAGAAGAAAAAAGAAGAAGAGAGGGTGGCTGGACGGAAGGGAGAAAAGAAGAAAAGAAAGAAAAAAGAGGAAGAAGAAAAGAATAAGAAAAGGAAAGGGGCGAAGCAAGATGGAAGAAAAAAGAAAAAGAAGAATAAATGAAGTGGGTGGGGAGGGTATTTGAGTCTTTTTAACTTATAAAACTTACTAAAAAAGGAAATGGGAAGTTTATTTGTGGACATCCCAAATAGGAAAGTGGGAAGATAATTTATGGACGGAGGGAGTATCTTATTTGTGTCTCATTTCGATAAATCTTACCTCTTCCTAGATTTTATTGTGGCGGGGCATATCGTTGGTTAAGGTACCAGTGTCAAAAATCTTTTCTTGTGACTCGTTAGTCTTTAGCCTAGTTAGGGTCCGTGCGGAGAACGTACGACATGCGACACACATAACCAGGTTGTCCGTTTAAAAATCCGTACCTAGCGATGTGTGGTCTTTTAGATGTTGCAGCTGCGTTTCAGTTCTTTCATTTTTAGGAGAGGGAGTGTCTATTTGCAAGTGATCAACCGATTATATACAAAATAATTCAGTTGTGCACTTGAAGAGTGTTAAAATATCCCATTTCGAAAGTTTGAAAAGAATATTCATGACATCAGGATAATCTAGAAAAGTCAACCAAAAATATCATTTCCTTAAATCTCATACGGAAATTAGGTGCGAATGAAGTATATAAATTCTATAGTTAATAACCTAAATGATCGACTGGTTTCAATAATTTATTGAACATTCATTTGCAAACATATATAACCATAATGTATGATACAATGATTGACTTGAGCCCGATTCATCCGTCCCTAAATGTTTAATGCATTTCAAAAAACGAGGCAAAATATTATATTTTTTCAATTCATTTGATTTAAATAGTAGTATAGAAAAAAAAATAAAACTTACATATTTAAAAACTATTTTAAAAATTCTTTGAAAAAAGAAGTATTAAAAATATTTTTTTTATCTAAATTTGAAAATAAATAAAAATTTCCGTGACGTCAATTCATCCCTTTCTAAAGTCGAAACAATAGTAGAGAGTATATTCCTGTAATTCGACATCCAAAGTATATTAATCATACTCCGTATATGAGTATTTCTTTACCATATTCCCTACAATAAATTTTTTATGATTAAATTGTCTTTTAACATCTTACTGATTTTAAACTTTAAAGGCATCTTTAATGTTCCAATTGGGAATTACGACCCATACATAGATTATATGGACACTTCGAATCCTACAAAGCACAGTTGCCCTATCGTGAAGGAAAGGATTCAAAGGATTGAGTGAGACGGCCACATATATATATATTTAGTGCATGTTTTTTATGTTTGGAAAAATAAATAATTGGATGTTAAAAAAGACTCGAAGAAATTGAAAACGAATCTGAAAAAATTGAAAAAAAAATTAAAAATAGAAAAAATAGAAGAAATTTGAAAAAATTAAAAATTAAGAGTTAAGACTAAAAAACAATTCAAGCTCTTAATGGTATGAGAAACATCATTAACACACACCCTCCTAATTAAATATTCAAGCCAGCATGAAATTATGAGTATATGCATTAGGTTGTTCCTAATATTTAGGGTGTTCATGCCCGTCGCCGGTCAATAGTGGTCCAGGCCCATGGCAATCAATGGAGGCTCAAATCACCTTTTGATTTTTTTTATTAAAGAATTCAACTTAAAAAATTGGTGAGTTTATCGTGTTTTTTTATTGTACGGTGACCTTTTCAGTGAGAAATGTAGAGACAACTGAAATGGGTAATAAGACACTTAGGTTGAACCACATTGTAAAATTGAATCCAATCGAGTCAACTCAAGAACTTATATACCGATTGATGGGTAATAACCCATGGATACCACCCGGTTGGTTCTCCCGACTGGGTGGTGATGCAAGTGACAGCGCGCGCCCTTCTCGGCCCGGGTTATTTCACCGAGTAGATGGGAAGGCCGGACGCCAATAACAGAAGACCTATTTTCCGAAGTACACCTGGTTGACCGGTCGGCCGCCTGACCGGCTGGATAATCAGAGACATGCTTGACGTGCTTAGGATTATTATAAATACTCCTAAAAGTCTCATTTGTGAGGCATGCTTTAATTAATCCACACAGCCTGTACTGATTGTAATAAGTTTCTACTTTCATTAATAACAAGCCGGGTTACAGGTGTTTCCACCTACAGCCCTCCCGATTACTTATATTTAGCATTTGCGTGGTAATTTACACCATCACCGATTATTTTGTTCTTTAACTTCTGATGTAGAATGACACTCTAATAGTGAGCATTGAAATTTACAAGTTTTAAAAATTCAAGGTGTGAACAAAATATTTTACGCATTTCCATGCAATTTGATTTGCTTCATAGTTGTCTTTGATGAATTTTACTAATTAATACTCCCTGTGTCCCTAAATAGATTACAATCTTTTTTTCTCTCTCCTCTCGATAACTTTTGTTTGTTTACGCGATTTCACTAAGTATTTGACAAAATAAAATTTTCTTGTCACATCTTGTTTTGTAGAACTTTTGACGTAGTTTTTTAATATGTAATTTTTATATCTTATTGATATACCAATTTGTAAATAAAATGATTTCAAAAAATAAGAAATTTTACTCCGTAAGCCGCAATTTGTAATCAAATTGGGGACGGAGAGAGTAACTATAAACATCTGTTACTAGAAATCAAACTCGTTCACAACATCCTTTTGTGATCCCTCTTGACTATTTTAGCTTTGCCTTGGGATCCACTCAAAACTTAAGGCCAAAAAAATGTGGAGATAGTATAAAAGTCATAAACCCACACTGAAAACTAAAGTCTTTGAGGTAGCTTAGCAGCTTTTTAACTCCACAAAATCCTCTCCCCCTTAAAGCTGACAGATTTCCTCCCACTACACCATCAATATTAAATACACTACTCCGTATTTTATTTTAAGAAATAAAAATTCTCCCTATTATTTTTTAAAGTTTATTTATTGACTGTTTTTTTATTAATTCTAAAATAATTGTAAAATAATTGTATTACTTCTTTACTTCTATAATAAATTAAAGAAAATATAGTCCATAATTTTTCCGATCTACTACGTATTTTCTCCAATCAAGTTTTAACCACTCACTTTTTTACTTTTTATAATTTTTTTCATAACTTTTTGAAGTTAAAATATGATGATTAGTTTAAGATAGTGAGAGTATAACACATTCTAACATAATTGTTTGAGTTATGTATCATGTATTTATAGGTGTGAAGTAGAATATAAAAAAGGGATATGCTAGGGGTACACCAAAGGTGTACCCCAAATGTACACCACTTGCATCTACACCATTCATTTTATTTTCTTTTTATTTTTTACTTTTTTTTGAAATTTTCTTGCCTTTTTTGTGTGGTGATGGAGGAGGTGGGGGATGTTTGGGGTACACTTTTGGTGTACCCCTAGCATTTTCCTATAAAAAATGGTAAGTAGTTGTACTGTGTGTGTACATATATATATATATATATATATAGATATAGATTTTGGTTCTGGTGAGAATGCGATCTTAGGAGAGAAATGAGAATGAATCTGGTGCTTTAGATTGTGCGATCTAAGGGTCAGGATTGCATCAAATTTAGGTGCAACAAAATGGTTTGAAAATGCATCACATCGAAATGCATCATAATCCTTTAAAAATGCACTATCTCAAAATCTGAGCATAGGATGCAATCTGAGCCGCACGATGCATCAGATCCAACGGCTAGATTTCATTCTCATTTCTCTCCACAAGGTGCATTCTCACAGGAACTGGCCTATATATATATATATATATATATATATATATATATATCACACTCCTAGCCCAACCTATAGTAAAAATAATTGGAAGAGAAAGTAAACAAAAAAGTCAAAGAAAAGTGGTGCAATATAATGTTGGACTACGAGTGGTGTAACCAGTCAGCCGCCGCCGGCATGTTTTCCGACGAACCAACTCCACAAGACTCCGACCAAACCCGCCACTTCTACGACTCATACGCCGCCCAAGCCGCCTTCAACGAAACCCAGGCCTCGGCGTTTCTAGCATCCAACGCCGCCGCCAACTTCGCCGCCGCCCAGTTCCACCACCACCCGCAGCACAGCTTCGCCGGTCTTTGCTATGACCCCCGCGCCGCCTACGGCGGCGGCCCGTCGTCGTTTGCTCACCAGGCGGCGGGCTTGCTCTCCCTTGAACCAGCCGGGTTCGGGGCGGTCGCAAAGAGCGAGCCTCTGGTCAACTTCCCGACCGCCGCAAACCGGATTGGGCTGGACTTGGGTGGGAGGACTTACTTCTCCTCGGCGGAGGATGACTTCGTCAGCCGGCTGTACCGCCGGTCGAGGGGGATGGACCCCACGGCGGCCAACTTCCCGAGGTGCCAAGCGGAGGGATGCAATGCTGACCTCACCTTAGCCAAGCACTACCACCGCCGCCACAAGGTCTGCGAGTTCCACTCCAAGGCCGCCGCCGTCGTCTCCGCCGGCCAATCTCAACGCTTCTGTCAGCAATGCAGCAGGTTCGTGAATGACCATAATGCCCCTCCCAATCAATCATCATTCCCACCGTCTTTAATTTGTTCATTCTTTAGCATGAAATGCACTAATTATTTAATTAAAGATATAATCTAATTTAAAACGTGTCAAAAATATACATTGAAAAAAATGGGTTGAGGACAGGGGAGTGGTAATGACGGAAATGCCCCCTTGGAGGTGACTTTCCGGGCAATCATTGGGGGTACGTGGCACGGTGTCATACACGTACCTGGGTTGATCCCGAGGGCATTCCCGTCCGTATAATTGAAATACGGAGTAACTTTTTTACTTGTCTCCCCCCACCCCCCAAGCCCTTTACTTCTTTTGGTAAAACACCCTTTTATTCTAACAACAATAAGTCAATAATAGCAGCCGTATTTAAAGAATAATAATTGCGTTACCCAAAAAACAAAACAAAAAAAAGTTGTACTTTAATTTATTCCGTTTTAAAATCTACTTATATTCCATAAAACTTTTCTAGTTCTAACTTTTAAAAAATTTTAAGGATACTGATCACTTTCGAAAAATACCCAAATTAATAGGGAAAAAATGTAATGTGATAGTTAAGTTAAAATTTAGTACAAGTAAAATTAATATTTTTATTAAAAATGAGAAAGATTTTTTAGAACCGATGAAAAAAATTTATGAGATGGAGAGAGTTTTTTATTTAATTTATAAAATTGAAAAGGTTAATTTTGGAAGAGATCATATAGGAATATGGTACAAGAATGTTGAGTTCCACATAAAGACAATAATCATTGTCATTAGTCAAATTCAAGGTTAAGTTTTTTTATTGAATGATTAAAGCATTTATGTTTTCAAAACACAAAAACTAATGATGTTTCGAAATGACAGGTTCCACCTGCTAACGGAATTTGATAACGGCAAGAGAAGTTGCCGGAAAAGGCTGGCCGATCATAACCGGCGGAGGAGGAAAAGTAATCAGGCCACGGCGGCAAATCAAGATTCCGGCAACGCCACGGATACTCAAAATTCTTCTTCCAGCACAAGTAATTAATTACCATTTTTAACCTTCGAATTTCCCTCCCTTCCCCTGTTTTTTCCCGATCACTGATCCGAGTTTCCCGCGACTGTGAAAACAGGGTCGCCGCCGGATTCAGGGGCACAATCGTCATCATCAGTTGCAGTTTCGCCGCCGAGAATATCGCTGGATTATCTCCGGCAATAACAAAAATAAGGATTGGGGGTCAAAGTTTAGTCAAATAGAAGAAGCATTAGAGCTAATGCAACTAATAATGGTAGCATTATTTGCATTAAATTAGGTTGGTGACAATTGTAAATTGTTAATCAACATTTTTTTTTTACTTTGTGGCAATTTCTACTCTTTAATCTGTATCTTTAGATAAAAAACATTCAATAATTACTCCCAATATTTATTTGGACGGCCCCTAAAAAGGTTAATATCCATTTTGGAACACATTTAAGAATAACAAAATGGGGGTGAATAAAGATTTCAGTCTATCCATTTTTGAATGAAGTAGGATTCGGTGCAGCACTGCAGTGACACGTTATTGTTGTTATCATTTTTTAGAAATATTTAAAGTTATTTATTTACTAAGATTCGTCTTTGTTATCTGTTTTATCGTAAAAATGCATTTACTTAAAAAACTACGGATCGGAGTACTTCATATTCAAAAATACCAAAAAAATATATTCTAAATAAGAGTAAAACAAATAAAAAGTACCAAAGTAGTACCTCCACAATTTTATTTGTAAAATAAAAATTTATACTGTGGTAATGTGACACTACATATGGAAATTTAATAATACCTTTTTGTTAATGTATATTTTTATGATTGACACGACATTGCATATGTACTTTAATTCATATTTCAGTAATAAAACATAGATTTTTTTTAATATATATTTTTAATATTTTACCCATATTTTGGTCTTTTCTCAAAACTAAAAGCTCACTACTCTAGTATGAGTTTAATCTTTTGTTTCTTTTAATACTGCCCTTCGTCTTACAATAAACCTCCCAATTACTTATAAATATTTTCGATAATTTATGATTGTTCGCATAATTTAATAATTATTTGATAGATAAAATATTTTTGTCACATCTATTTTGTAGAGTTTCTGATGAAGCTTTGAATAATGTAATTTGTACCTTTTATGGTATACCAATTTGATTGAAATAAATTTTAAAAAGCTACTAAGATTTTGCATGTTTATCAAAATGGAAAATTTGTTGTTAAACAGATGGAGTATATATCTTGTAACTCATAATGTCAATAATTAAAAAAAAACATAAGGGGTAAACCGTATTTTCTAAAGAAATCGCCCTAAATAAAAAAACATAAAAAAACATAGAGTATGCTAAAATATGAGCTTCATGTTTTTATCTTAAAATAAAAGTTCATATCTTAGTAACGTGACATTCTCAATGGACATTTCACAATTTTTTGTGTGACATATTTCATCATAATTGACATTTGAAATGTATCTGAACTTATATTTCAGAAATATAAATGTAAAACTTATATTTTTCATATATTTTTTTAATATTTTATTCATATTTTAATTGTTTTATTTTTTTATGAATGGTTTGAAATTAGAATTGAAACTCTATTTACGTGGACATGAATACATGATCGAGGTTCGCAATATCCCATAACTAGTCGTGTCAATGATTTTTATGCAGGGATAGGAAGTACTCCTTCCGTTCCCATAAATCTTCTCAATAGCCCTTTTTTTTGTTCACAATGGATCTTTTCATTTCATTTTTTAACAATTAAAATACCATAACTACCCCTACTTACTTTATTTATTACACCTTACCCACCTCATTTAATACACTCAACCCATATTTCATTAAGGGTATTATGGTAAACTTTCATCTTTTTTCAACTCTCTCTAAAAACCACCAAAAGTTAAAATGAGAACATCTTAGGGGGGACGGAGGGAGTAATTCGTGAACCTTTAGTTAATACGGAGTAATTACTTGGGAATCCGACAAAAAACACACAGTGTGTAGAGACTGTAGAAAGGCAACCAAGAACTGTTGACTAAGACCTTATTTGTATGCAAAGGATTTCACTCGATCCTCCGGCTCCACATGTCCATTTTATTGTATACACCATAATTATTTTTACACAAATATTGAAATTCAATCTCATATTATAACACTAGATTATTACCACATTCAAGTTGGTTTTTTTTTTCAAAAAAATCATCTCCCCTCAAACCATTTTACCATGCACTCCATTCTAACTCACGAAGTATCCCGTTTTTGAACGACAATCTAATGTCATAAATTTTGAAACTGGATTTTAATCCACAGGAGGTGTTGTCTCGATCAGGGATTAGGTCATTAGGGTGGAGTGTATTAAGGATACCAAATAAATACTCCTTCCGTCCCTAAATAAACTTCTCCTTTCATTTTTTCTTTGTCCCTAAATAAATTTCTTTTTTCCCTTAAAAAATCCTTTTACCCATTACCTTTTCATACCCTACCTATCACATCATACCTTTTTATTAATAATCTACTTATCATATTTTACTTTTACACATCACATCAAGGGTATTTTTAGAAAATCAACACAAAAATATCACTCCCTTAAATCCTCAAAAAGTAAAAAATGGAAGTTTATTTAGAGACGAAGGGAGTATCATTTATATTTGTTTATATTTATCCTTTGTATAGTATTATATGTGTAGTATAGCTCTTGTAGTTATCTCTTCCTAATCATATGCGCCAGACTCCTAGAGAATAGGATCGGCAATGTGCTATGTGTGTATATATGTTTGCTTCATCAATGATTTGAGTATGTTTGATCAATACTTCCATAGAGTGCATGGGGTAAGATAAGCAGTGTGAATTTGAGAGAGAGCTATGAGTATATAAACTTGTGTCTTGTAAGATTTTTGATTGGAACAATGACATTTTATGACATTAATTAGTCACCGATGTCAAAATAACAGTCGTGTGGAATAACATATGGAGAATGTGATATTTGACCCGTTTGGCAATCATTTTATTGTTAATATTTTGAAAAAGTTATCTATTAATAACATTTAGCTTTAAGATATTCATTGTCAATCTCTATTATCTACCAATAAAAAATTTACTCTCTCCGTCCTACAAAACCTCCCCCTTTCCTTTTTCACCTGTCCCAAAAAGCAATTTTTCTTTCTTATTAAAAAGTCACTTTTATCTCAATCACTCCGTAATTTTTAACCTATCTATCACATCACACTTTTTCTCTATTAATCTATTATCCATCACATCCTACTTTATTTATCATATCAAAGAACATTTTTAAAAAGTCAACACAAAAATAAACTTTCCTTAAATCCTTTAAAAGTCAAAATGGGAAATTTTTTAATTGACGGAGGGAGTATAATACTAGAGGTAATTGATGATCTTCTTCCCAAACAAAACCTCAACATACTTAGGTGGCATCTTTAAAATAAGGGTAATTTACTTAAATATGACTAAAACATAATAACTTTTTCAATATAGGAACATATATTTTTATTTTTTAATGTAGAACCATTGGTCATTATCTATAATTAGTCATTATTTAAGTAAATATCGATTATCACTGGATATTATTACTCTTAATAGACATTATTAAATGCTATTTAGTGAATAAAAAAATTTAAGTTCTACATTGGAGAATGGTTTATGTTTTACTCCTATTTACTGTAAATTTTTCTTTAAATAATTGTATTTATCACTCGGGCTGCATACTTTATTACCCTTGAGTTGGGGGTCTCTTTGGGAATTAAAAACATTTCTACTTTCGAATGTGGGTAAAGTCTATGTACAAACACTTTCAAGTCTTATTTTTGTGGGATTCAACTTGCTCGGATAAGCTACCGAAAAGAGAACAGAAGTACTTAAAAGTCTAAGTTGGGCTGGGCTAATCCAAGAAATATTTTAATGTTTACATGCCTATAACCCAATCAAAAGCTTGGGCCAAACTCCGAGCCCTTAATTTACGATGGAATTTATAGCATTAACACATTGTACTCATTATAAATATTGGGCGTCACTCGTCAATGGACCTGATAATGGGCTCCGTTACTAATCTGCTCCAAATAAAAAGAGACAGCATGGGCTTGGTTTTTTGAGGTACAAGTCGTCCAATAAAAACTGGAGTTTGCGAACAAAACAAACTTGAGGACCGCCAATAATAATAATAATAATAATAATAATAATAATAATAATAATAATAGTAATAGTAATAATAGTAATAATAATAATAATAATAATAATAATAATGAATACTATTACTAACTACTTAATAACTATAGAATATATAACAAATTAAATAGCCTACTATATCTACCATCCATAACAATGAAGTTCATCATATATACCGATAATCTAATTAGCTTGTAGCCAGCCAGGCTTAATTTTTTGCAATAATCTCTATTCTCTACCATAACAATGAAGTTAATAATATATATCCAACATAGTTTATCTCAAAACTAAGGAAATGGAGAAAAGAGAAAAAAATGAAAGTTAAAACACTATGACTCCATTTAAAAATTATTTGAACGGTTCGTAGCTTTTAACATAATGTCAACAATTTCCAAAACTAATATACACTATTAAAATTGTATTTAAAATATTGTCCAAACGCGTTGTTACCAAACAAATCGTATAAACATTGGCGTTATTTTTATTTTGTCCCATTTTTGTGTGTGGTTTTTTTTACTGAAACTATTGTTGTCTCATTTGAGTTTACAATTTTTGACTAATTCACTAAAAATATTTTTTTCCCCTAATCTCTTCTATTTTTTTGGTATCTAAATTTTTGAATTGTTTTCAAAATTATTTTTAACCATAATATACTTTTTAATTATAACATATTTTGAATACGTAGGTACTAATATTTACCCCATAAATTTTTTAAAATACTTTTTTCCAACTTAGAATATAGTTCGACTTTAAAAAAATAAATTGGGATGGTAATGTATATTCTTTCAAATCGTAGTTCATTGTTATTTCATATCCCTTCCATCCAAAATTACTTTTCTCATTTTGCTTTCATGTAAAAATAAACAAAAAAATGTTACATAGTAAAAAGTTCGTACTTCAAATTAATTTTGAAGATAAAACAATTATCTTGGACTACCTATTTTTTTCAAAAATAAATTCAACAAACAACCGAAACTTACCTTACACGTGAACTTAATTTTTAAAAATTGGGCGACAATAAGCTTAAATTCAAGAAGACTTTGATAGCATTAAAAATTGGGCGACAGTAACCTTACACTTGAAATCTTGAACTTGT